TGATATCATTAAAAAGAATGCAAATTTGATAAAAATATTATAAACTAATAATTACTTTCCATTATATAGAAATTAAATGTTTTTCAACCATTTTTAATGCCATATCTCTTTGAAATATTAAGAATAAAGAAGAAGAGTAAGTTTAAGGATTAGAAAAAATCTCCTAATAGCCACACAGATTATTAGAAATCTATTGAATTCCTGAAATACGATATATTTGGCTGGGGTCTGCTGGCGGTTACACCTACCGCCAGAAAAATAAGAACAGAAACAGGTGCTGCGGTGTTTTTCATTAATATGTGAAGTAACTAATCAGCAAATAGCAAGAAGGCGAGATTTCAGGTTAAAAAAGGGGTTCCTTTCTACAAGGTTATTTAGTAAACGTTTTAATTACATAAGGACGTATTCCTATGTTTTATAGATTACGCAAAGGGGTTCGACAAAGTACATCTGAAAGATCTGTTAAAGCTGATCAGCTACCTTGATATATTCGGAAAATACATTAGAATAATGAAGAATCTCAACTGGCAGCAAACCACCAGCATATGGACAGAAAACGAGTTCAGCAGATATATAAATCTAGAAAGGGGTGTAAGACAAGGATGCGTTATTTCAGCGGGTTTATTCAACCTATACAGAGAGACAATTCTGAGAGAATTAGATGTCCTATCAGGATTTACTATTAGCGGCCATAATCTTAACAATATAAAATATGCAGATGATACAGTGTTGATAGCGACACTAAAAGGAAACTACAAACCCTCCTACAGAAGGTAGCGAAGGAAAGCGAGAAGAAAGGACTAAAGTACAAGAAGACAAAATGAATGGTCATCAGCAAAAAGATGAACCCAAAATGCCAATTAAAGGTCGGGGACACTAAAATCAAGCAGGTACAGAAATTTAAATATCTGGGAAGTGTTCTAACGGAGAATGGAAAGTGCGACACTGAGATCCGAAGACTTATTGGAATGGCCAAATATGCCTTCCAAAAGCTAAGCAGAGTATTAAGAGACAGAAAAATTTCGTTGGAAACAAAGAAAGAAGTATTGAAATCTTACGTGATAACTGTCCTTCTGTATGGAAGCAAATACTGGAGAATCTCCTCAAAGATGAGGAAAAAAACTTGAAGCAACAGAAATGTCGTTCTACAGAAAGATGCTGAGGATACCATGGGCCGAACATGTGAGCAACAACAAAGTTTTAGAGAAAATGGAAACAAAAAGGAAACTTATACATAACCTGGATAAGAGACAGTTGAAATTTCTGGGGCGCGTGTTTGTAGAAAAAAGAAATAAATGATGACGAGGGGGGTCAAAATGTGCAGTGTGACGCTCGCCGGCAGGCCGGCTGTTTTTTCTTCTTCTTCGATCGCCTCAAGGAAATGGATTGCGTGGCTCCCTCTCTCGGTCGTTACACTGGGCAGTTGGGAAACAGACACCAACTCAGCCGCACCTACTTCGACTTCCTCTTTGTCCGTCTGTCAATCCGTACATCCAACTCTAACACACGCAGTCCGCCGAATGACTTCTGTTTTTGGTGCTGCTGGCACCCCGCTTTTTATGCTATTCCAAGATGTTAGACATTTTCATGACGGTCGTCCTCGAGTATAGAATCCAGAGGTTGGCAGTGAATATTTCGGAGACATTAGGATAGCGTAGTGCAGGTTCGCAGTGGATATCGCAGCAAAGTAGCAGAGCGTAGTTCTTCCGTCTGTCATGTTCGCCGGACAAGTTTCCTCTGGTCCTTCCGGTGAGATAACAAAGATGGCCGCCTTTATACACGACGGATACAGTGTTGTGCGGCTTCTGATTGGTCAACCTTCTATTGGTCGACTATAAAGGGAATTAAGTCATTTTGACTCGCTCACTAGTTACATATGTTATATACCCAAAAAACCGTAACACAAGACGGCCAAAATTTGCATGTGTGCAAATATCGTCTCGTTTTGGACGAGATAGGCGCGCAATAAATTGTGTCTTCAATAGCGGCCATATTTTTTTTTGTCATCACTTTGCAGGCAAGACACGTTCACGTTTGTTTCGAATTCCGAGTCATGTCTTTCGTTATAGTGTTGAGGAAGAGGGCTTGGAAAATCTGATACTCACGTACAGAGGGACAGAAGAAAGCAACGCGTAACATACTTGATGGACTAGATGCATAATGGACAGCAGAACACGGTATGGGAGAAATAACAAAAAGACAAAAATATTAAGAGCTACAAGGGACAGGAAGATGTGGAGAGCAATGATCGCTTACGTCCTGAAGGGACACGGCATATAAAAGAAGAAAGAAGCGATCAGTTGGGGTATGGAATTTATCTCACTTGTTATACACACTCCGTCACCGACGAATAGCTAGCGACATTTGCCACAGCGACAGCAAAAGAGGGCGATACAGACCCTGATACGATGTGCAAATATCACAAGTAAACCTTTCGCCTGGTGAAAAGCTGGCTTTCGACTTTCAGTGAGAAATCGAAACAGTGCAAATTTGGTCTGCTGGCCTGAAGACAACCCGTGTGACCCACTGTTCGAGCCATAGAGTGTGTCATAACAATGCAACACCTTCAGGGTATAGACGATCATGGTTCTCCACAGTTTCTTTTCTTTATTATTTCTTAATTTCCAGGTCTTCTTCCGGAATATCGTACAGTGGTCTGTTGCCTTCTCTATATTTTTTAAGTCAGAGATTTCCTTCTCTTAAACTGATTGCCAGCCAAGAATAGAGAACACAGTCTATCCTGTTATTTAATCCATAGCTGATGGGGCAAGAAACGACTCGTTCTTTTTTTTTCCAAGGATATATCTTCAGTTCCGTAAGCCATTAGGGTTCGTGTTGCAGCATACCTACGGACGATAATGGATATGTCCCCATTCCCATAAATACAATAGTAAATACTGTATGTTGGTCTGCAATCGGAGATTCGTCTCCAGCCGTACTGGAGTACTTTTTTGCTAAGATCCTGTTGTAACCTAGAAAGGGTTACTGAATGAGGAATGACCAAAACGGAGATTGGAAATGAAATGGTAATCTTTATAACATCAACAAATTACAATACTCGCCAGCGGCATGATGTAGGTAAACCACTGCTAGTGGTGGACTACTTACATAGAATATTACCCCCCCACCACCACCACTTACAATAGTTTCCAACGTATTTATGAGGATTAGGACATTTGTGTTCATAGGTACGGTATATAACAGAACCTAAACATGTTCGAAGTTTTTCTTTACTGTATTTATTGTATATAAGGTTTCCTTTCCTCCAACAAGGACACAAAAATATCTCCTTGAGCATATATGCCTAATTGAGCTATCTAGTAAGCTAATGCTTACCCAGACACCCTAGAAAGGAATGTAAGAAAAAGAAACAGTTTCATAACCGGAAGTTCAAATATTCACTCTAGCATGTGCCAGCCATTTTTAATAGTTGATGTGTCATGTTAACGTCATTTGTGACATAAAAGAAACCCTTCAGGACTTGGACAATCATGGCTCACCACAATGTCCAATCTTTTGGACCTCTCTGCAATGTTTTTTTTTTGTTTTTGTCTTTTTACTATCCCTCCCACACCCCTTTTTGCCATCTCTTTCGTAGGTTACGCGCTGATTTGCACTGTCAATCAGCATTTTCTATTAAGAAGCTGGACATATTGAAGACATCTCCATTTAATAATGTATTTAATGGAATATCTTTCTTTTTATGTCCCATGACCATTCAGGACGTAGGCGATCATGGCCCTTCACCTCCCTCTATCCCTTGCAGCTCTCAACAAGTTCGTTCCCTCTGCTTCCTCCCCCAGACCACGATCTGTCATCCGCCTGCTCAAGCTCATTAGGTATGTCACGAGCTGCTTTCCCTTGTCTCTCTTTCCCTCTATTCGACCCGTGAGTATCAGATTCTCCAGGCCCTCCTTCCTCATTATGTGTCCCAGGAACTTCAGCTGCCTCTTCCTGATGTTAAGTATAATAATAGACTATACGGTCCCCTATATATTAAAATTACACTTCTTTAAATTTTGCAAAGTGTGAGCTTGTTCACACCAGTTTTCTTGTTGCTGTACAGTGTAAACATGGCCGCTCCGTTAGCAGTGTGTACCAAGGAGGGACAAAGAGCAGTGATCCGATTTCTCTGGTAGGAAGATGTGTCAGAGGTTATATAGTTGGTACTATTATGGTCACGTGGTTAAAGTTTGATCAAAGGGGACCGTATATCCTTTTAAAAAGACACTAACAAAAATTTAAATATCCGAGACATATTTTAGCAAAGTGCGACATTGAAATCCGAGGGTGCATTGGGATAGCCAAAGATGCATTCCAAAAGCTAAGCAGAGTATTAAGAGACAGAAAAAACCCTTTAAAAATAAGGGAAAGTGTACAAAAATATTATGTGACGTCTTTCCCCTTATATGGCAATGAGTGCTGGACTATCTCCTCAAAGATGATGAATTGACTTCAAGAAACACAATCCTACAGAAGGATACTGAGGATACCATGGACGGGTTATGTGAGCAACGACGAAGTTTTAGATAAAATGAAAACTAAAAGGAAACTTGTAGAGAAAGAGACAGCTGAAATTTCTGGGCCACTAAATGAGGAAAGAGGGCTTGGAAAATTTGACACACACAGGGCGTATTACAGGCAAGAGAGACAGAGACAATGTATAACATAATTAACTTGAGTAAATGTATGGCGGAAAAGGTTTTAGGAGAAAAAACAGAAAATTCAAAATTTATTAAGAGCTACAATGAACAGGAAATTTGTGGAGGGCCATGATCGCCTATGTCCTGAAGGGACACGGCACAACAAGAAGAAGAAGAAGAAGAAGAGGAAGAAGAAAACTGCTAAGCAGGTTAGCGTCTGTTATTTTCAATCACTGACAAACATCCCGGCCATATTTCGGACTCAACATCTGACGTAAGAGATGTCCTGTTTAGCATACGAACATACAAGCGTCAAGCAGAATAACCATTTGCACTGCAGTTTGATCGGCAAGCTGAATGCTCTTTACTTGGTGTCGTCTCAAACGAAAGCCAGGCGATGCACTGCAACGACTGACATCACGTAAGTACTGCCGCCATGTTGTCATGGCAACGAGGCAAAGAAGAGTTGAGACGCTTGGAAACTGACGGTCTAGTGCTTGAGGCATGCATTGTCATAGGTTGGTTGAGAGGATGGGGGTTCGATTGTGGTCAAATGAAAAAGGAGGAATTCAAAATCGACTCGAAGTGGTTGCGTGTCATTTGGCCAGTATCAAGGCAAGTGGAAAAAAATACTCAACCATACACATACACTGGAGTACGCGCCCTCAAACTAGCACACACATAATTTTATATCATTAAACAGCCACGCACACACAAAAAAAAATATATATATATATATATATATATATATATATATATATATATAGCTACGCATAGATACATAATCTATATAGGTAGACGTATATATTATTATATCTAAATGAATAAGATAAAAATGTAATGAAGTCTGTATAGAAAATTATCGCTGCAAACACACACACACACACGTAAATATATATATATATATATATATATATATATATATATATATATATATATATATATATATATATATATATTTGTTTAAAAAATATGATTCCTTTTGTTAATGAGTTCTCATGTTTCAAAACGAGAGACGAAACCATCCAAATAATTATTAAAATTGTTGAATTGAGGTGTTTAGTCCTGTTTCATCTTCAAAAATTTCGCTTGAACATGAAACGGGACTAAACACCTGGATGGTTTCGTCTCTCGTTTTTGAAACATGAGAACTCTTATGTAGCGAAGGAATCATATTTTTAAACAAAAAATATTACAATATAAGCTCTACTTCTGCATGGAGCACTGTCTTCTTAAAAATAAAAACAAAAATACTAAGGAACTCCGGATTATGCACCCAACGTGTTCTTTTCTATTTTCTGCATACCTGCGCACTTACATATATATATATATATATATATATATATATAGATAGATAGATAGATAGATAGATAGATAATATGAGTGGTTAATATATATATATATATATATATATATAAATTTCCAAGATGATAGAATCCAGGTAGAACTCAATATCCAGGACACAGCAAGAATATAATATAAAAGGCTCAAACACTAATATTCCATGGTTATACACTGGAATCGTAATTACGATCTAATTCATCAGATCTACAAATTCATATATATATATATATTCAGTTTCATATGATGTTTAATATACATATATTGTTAATATATATTAATAGTTATTATTAAATATTATATATATATATATATATATATATATATATATATATATATATATATATATATATATATATAATATTTCCATTTTCTGTCGTCCTGATCCTGATTCTTTTTTATTGTCATTTTCCTCTTTTTCCTCACTAAAGTTTTCAATCATTGCATCCGTATTTGAGTAGACGCCTCGTTTTTATTATGTCTACCGGCATACAGGCGTGAAAAGATGCAATAAGGAAAATGTGTCTTTAGTGTACTGGCCAGTAAACATACTTGACACTGTTTAAATAATAACGAAAACATACAAAATCGGTATTCCCAAGAAATATCGTTTGAAATGATAAACATGTCTTATAAAATAGCTGTCTTTATATATATATATATATATATATATATATATATATATATATATATATTATAAATTAATTGATTTAGAATATGGTTTTTTTTACACAGTTCTAACCATGTTTCAAAAATGGAGCTAATGTCTTTAATTTAATTACAAAATTAAATTAGAGGCTTTTAGATTCTATTTTTGAAACATGGTTAGAACTGTGTAGCGAAAAAAATATTTTAATCAATTAATTTATAATATTAATGCTCTGTAAATTTACATTGAGCACTATTTTGTAAAAATAAAAATATCTATAAGGACACCGGATTTATATATGTTACTGTTATTTTATTATATATATATATATATATATATATATATATATATATATATATATATATATATATATATATATATATATTATTATTATTATTATTATTATTTCATTATATTTTGGGTGTTATCAGCAGTGTACATCCACTAGAGAGATTCAAACCCAGACTGTTTCAAAACAACGTGACCAACGGACCTCGGTGACGGAGAAGAACCTGAATAGATCCGATATAGAGCCGCTATTCATAAATTCCTTGGTGATACTCATCCAATTATTCATAACACAACAGATTGTGACCAAGACCCGCATCTTTCCCACCGAACCGCGCCATCTCAAACCATTAGCTGGGTCAGGCATGTATATACAAGTAAAAGAATTTTGAGGATTTATGCAAATCATTATAGTAATTCATCGAGTCAAGAAGAATGCAGAAAGCGTTGAACAGCCGTGTTTCGTTCTATTTTGGGACTCATCAGCAGTGCGGATCCTCTACCGAGATTCGAACCGGTACTGTTTCGCTACAACACAAGCGCCATACCAACTGTACCAACTTTCGGCTCACATGAGCCATCTTCAGAGTGGTTATATGGACATTTAAGCAACGATATTCACCATCAAAGATGATATTCTGTTATGTTGACATAGAAGATTGCTATGCGACAATAACGGTCGCACAATAGCAAACGCATGTCGTAAATTCATGAAAGCTTAGATCAGGGAACAGCATAATAAAAAAATATCCAAATGTTGGACAATTTTTGTCTTTATTTTCTCCCGAAATTAAGGCAAATAGCTAGAACGGCTCATGATAAAACATAATAGGCAGTCGTTGTCTGTCATAGAAAGGACTATTATGAAAAATAAATACACATAATATGCCTATATTTTTCAAAGAAACATGCTTAAATGAATATATATATATATATAGATATATATATATATAATCTTCCCATGCCTTCTCTTACTCTAATATATAAACTTCTTTTTTCTTCCCCCACTTCTACCTCTTCTATACTGTAAGCACCCCCTCCATTTTTTAAGGTCAAGTTAAAATGGCTACTTCATTTTTTCTTTTTCTTTTTTGTTTTCATTATTTATTTATTTCATTTTTTTAAATGTCTGTTTTTTTATCAAATACTCTGGCTAAATTTCTATCATATAATAAAATGTACTCGTTCTGATGAAGCAGGTATATATATATATATATATATATATATATATATATATATATATATACATATATGTCTGTCTGTCTATGTGTGTGTGCGTGTGGCTGTAACTGTTGAAATAAATTTATAATCGATTATATTATGAATAATTAAGTTTTTACTTATTGACCTTTCATGCATTTAAATTTTTAATATTTTATATTAAAATACCTCCTTAAAATAATCCCTATCACCTACGGATTTGGTATTACTGACATATATACACACACACACACATATATATATATATATATATATATATATATATATATATATATATATATATATATATATATATATTGCGCATAAACATATATAACTAGCTCGTTAGATAAATATATACATACAGAAAGAGAGGGGAGAGAGATGTGAAATGTTAACTTCGTGGGCGCTAATGTGCTTTATACAGAAAACAATTTGTATGGCGACATGTGATTGGTAAGTTTCTTGATTGAGAAGAAAGCCACAGAAAACGAAGCAAAGAGGTGAGAAATTTAGCACACCTTTCCAGCTCGATGCACTTATTTGTTTCGCGGAGACTAGCTAGCAATCAATTACAGAGGGTCGCGGCAGGCTGTCGTAAATCGTCAGTGCTATGAGTAGTGTAGGAATCCAGAAAAGTTAAAGAAATGAGGGCAAGAACAAAGAGAGGAAAAAGAGGTCACGTGGCGGCTAAATAAAATTATGCAGACAATATGGATACCGTCACTTGGGAAACGTCATTTCATACGTTTGAGTGATCGTCTGCAAATTTCCAATTATCTCCTCCGCCTCGATTTCACTTCAGGTTTTTTTTTTCGACTGCCTTCCTGCTCTCTCTCTCTCTCTCTCTCTCTTACTTTCCAGTATTTTAAGAACACTCTCATACTCACTGATCTCTCTCACTCGCTATCTCATTTTATATCTATCTATCTATCTACCTATCTATCTACCTATCTATCTGTCTCAGTTCTTATCTATTTTACTGTCCGAAACTTTTAAAAACTTTTCATTATCTATCTATCTATCTATATATATATATATATATATATATATATATATACAAGTATATGATTAGAATAAATTCCAATAACCAACAATTACAATTCTTAAAAGAGTGCTCAATACAGAGTAGAGCGAATATAATTATTTATTTAAAAATTATAATATAACATAAATCTGTTATGAAATCACTACAAAAATAGCCATTTTGTTTCAACACCTCTGGTGTCTTATAAAGTGATGTTGAATGTAGATTGTAGAATAAAGGATTTAAAAGTTTCAAATTAGTTAACCACCCCTCGTAAGGGGAAACGCTGTCACGTGAGATGAAATGACCAATCAAAATACAAGTACTTATACTTGTATTTTGATTCGTCATTTCAGCTTATGAGGGGTGATTAATTAATTTGAACCTTTTAAATCCTTTATTCTACAATCTACATTGAACATCGTCACTTTATAAGACACCAGAGGTGTTGAAACAAAATGACTATTTTTGTCCTATATTTACGGGATAAAGTGCTCAATGTCAGAGATAGAGCGTATGTAAATATGAATATAAAAGTGAACACTTGACTTGACGATTGCGTCTAGCATGAAACAGCCTGTCGCCTTCAATGTTCCCTTTCATATATATATATATATATATATATATATATACCATTTGTGCCTGACGCATTGGGTAACCATAAAACTCTGGGTTGCGCTACAAACGTAGGTATATGTGTATTTATTCATATATAATTTATCGCTCTGTTTAACTACATTGAACCCTGTTTTCTTTACACCATAAATAAATATTTAGTTGCTTAACTGTATATGTACGTTATCATACGCATATATAATTGCTAATATCTCATTATTTAGTTTATTTCCCACTTATATAGGTATATATATATATAATTACATCCTCCTTGGAATTATTCATACGGATTACCAAATAACTTCTTAACTAAATATCTGTCTGTCTCTCTCTCTCTCTCTCTCTCTCTCTATATATATATATATATATATATATATATATATATATATATATAATATCTCAATTAAATCTCTCTCTCTCTCTCTGGCTTTCTTTTCTAAACACAATCTCTCTTACTCAAACACACACGTAGACACCTATATACACACAAAACCCCAGACAGGCAGTCTCACTCGTTACGCCTTTTGCTTCTATCTCTCCCTCTGTCTGTCTGTCTCTCTCCCTCTCTCTCTCTCTCTCTCTCTCTCTCTCCCATTACTGCCCAGAATTAAAATACAGGTAGAATCCTCTCTCTCTCTTTTTCTCTCTCTCTCTCTCTCTCTCTTTCAAACACATGCATACGCCTACACACACCTACATACACACGCTGTCTCACTCACTATCAATTCTTTCTCACACACGCTCTGTTTCTTCATCTTACTGTGTATGTGTGCGTGTTGTGTGTGTGTGGGTGTTTAGGTGGGTGTGATTTATTCACTTTTGTTCTTTTATTTATTTTTTCTCAAATTTCTTTTTTTTTTTTTTGGTTTCCTGATATTTTGCTAGATGTTGGATATTTGATATCTAAAGCGGAAATCTTACTCGCATAGACCTTCGTCTTTTTTTTTCTTTTTTTTTCCCTAATCACCTATTGGTTATGTGGTAACGAAGTGGAGATGTCAATAGAATAATAATACGAAATACTTAAATCTTCATCACTTAACATTCAATTCACTCCAATATTGCGTCAGTTACTCTTAGCCAGTCTACGGTGCCAACACAGCAAACCGAGTTAGATACGTGGACCTTACATTCTGTCTGCGATATGTGAGAGACTACCCCCTAGCTGTTGTTTATATATCTGCAATACGGTTAGAGTATCAGAAAACGGTTTGAAGTCACGTACTTAAGCATTCGATGGTTGGGAGTAACACCAAGTCAACCCTGTATCTGATAGTGTGGTGTGAAATTTGAATGCAATGTTTATTCCGACATAATACCACAATATCCATGCACTGCATTTCACTTCGCGGAGCATACTTCATTCTTACAGCATTTAAAGGAACACTCATGCCCGAGTTGAGGCACATATCAGTTGAAAATACATTTGTATTAGATTGAAATAATAATAAGCAAAAATTTAAAATCCTAAAAGCCCTTTATATCAGATTATTAAAGACAAAATTAAATTAAGTCAAATATGGGTTTAGTAACAAATTTCTTAAATGTCTGTAGCAGCCAAGTTATATATATATATATATATATATATATATATGTGTGTGTGTGTGTGTGTGTGTGTGTGTGTGTGTGTATATATATATGTGTATGTATGTATACATATATATATATATATATATATATATATATATGGTATCTATTCAAAAATTATAACATAAATGTTATAAAATCACTACACAAATGGCCATTATTTTCAGTGTAGAATTCAACAACATCACTTGATAAAACACCCGAAGTGTTGAAACAAAATGGATATTTTTGTAGTGACTTTATAACATATTTATTTTATAATTTTCGAATAAATTATATTTGCTCTACTCTGGATTGAGCACTCTTTTAAGAATAGTTTTTTGGTTATTGGAATTTATTCCGTATACACCAATCCTAAACTGATATATATATATATATATATATATATATATATATATATATATATAGTATTTATATATATATATATATAGTATTTATTCCAAAATGACTACAAAAAATAGCCATGGTATTGATTGATCGGGATGGTATTGATTATGAATAAAGAATTTGTTTTTGAAAATTCAAAACCAAATCAAACCTCCTCAATATGTAAACTATGATGACCAATAAGAATACAAGTCTATGAAAATGCATGAGTCATGACGGTATTTTCTAAATAAAAACCGTTAGTTGATTAAAGTTAATACTAGATCAAACCAAAAATCAATATGAAATAATTAACCTTAAATTTACGCTAAAATTAAAAATTAAAAAACAGAAATTTCAAATTAAATTGAGCATTCGTTTTAAAAGATTATAAAGGTATTCAATAAAAACGAACGGCGGAAAAGCAGAAAATATAAATCTGTGTGTGCGTTTTCATTATTCTTATTTTAAGGCCAATATATCCGTTAAAATCAACGCTGATGTGAAAAGTATACATAAAAGCTACAGATCTCAAACAACCGGAAGCTGGCTGATGGCACGAAAGACACATTCGCATCCTAAAACACAGACACATTAATTAAACTGAACATATTAATGGATGGTATTATGTATATTTCACAATATTTATATATATATATATATATATATATATATATATATATATAGTATTTATTCAAAAATTATAACATAAATATGTTATAACATCACTACAAAATAGGCATTTTGTTTTAACACTTCTGGTGTCTTATCAAGTGATGTTGTTGATTGCGAAATAAAGAGTTTTCGGAGAAATTCAAAACCGAATCAAAACATTCAATACGTAACCTCTTTAAAAAAAACTCTTTATTTCGCAATCAATACCATCACTTGATAAGACACCAGAAATGTTGAAATAAAATGGCTATTTTTGTTATATCATATTTATGTTATAGTTTTTGAATAAATACTGTTTCCTCTACTTTGTATTAAGCACTCTTTTAAGAATAGTGTTTTTAGCTATTGGGATGTTATCCTGTCTACACCAATCCTATATTTGTAGATAGATAGATAGATAGATAGATAGATATGAATTAAAAATAATAAAAATAATTAATAAAAAAGTACAGAAAGTTATCTCCCTTGTATTGAGAACGAGCTTTAAATCAGAAGGTTGCTGAGTGCAGTAAAACGAATAGCAAGAACGTTTTGAATTTACAGCTATACGTATGCACATGTTTCCCCGCCCCATAAGAATGGAGCTTAGATTTCACTACAAGTGCTGAGTTTAGTTTATTTAAGAAATATTTAAAAAATTAAATGGCCGTTGTCAAAAATCGTGACGATCGCGCATTGGCTGTTGTAGTCATTAGCGGTGCTATGTATTAAAATAACTTATTTTCCGCTGTCGACCGTCGCCATCGACGGAAAAGGCCATATTTATAGAATAGAGAGTGAGAGAAAGGCTTATTATGAGAATATGGATAAATCCAGACTTCCTAAACAGATTTCTATGGGAAACTGTCTGAGGGTACGCGTACCTTTGGACGGCCCAATCTTTGCTTCAAGGACCAGTGTAAAACATCTATGAAAGAATTTTCCATCAATGTTGCGAACTGGGTTGCCCAGGATCGAGTCGGGTGGAGAGCTGCTGTTTTCGTGCGAGCTAAGAGCTATGAAGGGAATAGTGTCCGGCGCGCCGTAGAAGCTAGACAAAGACGCCTCACATTGGATGACTCCACAGTTTTCTATTACTGTAGTTGTTGTCACGCATTGGTTGTTGTAGCCATGAGCAGCGCTTTGTTTTATTTTCCTATGGCGATTGTCGCCATCGACCAAAATGGATATAATGTCGAGATTAAAAATTGGTTTAAAAAGTTAACGGATTTAATGAACATACATTCGAAACGGGAGATGATTTTGTTTGGATAAAATCTTCCAAACTGAAAGTATTTCGAGACGATTCGAGAAAGCATCCTTCCCCTCCCCAGAAGAATGTGGCCTTGATTTCACTACAGGTGCTGTGTAGCTATATTTAACAGTATTTTCTATTCACTTAGTCGTGGTAAGTAGCCAATTAGCGTGACTCACTGAAACCGTAATAGCCCCGAGTTTATGGTAATCGTAATGACATTAGGCCATATATCATTTGAAAGAGCAAACATTTGGTAGACATATTAACAATACTGTCCAGTCAAAGCAAGTTATTCTAATAATTCATCTTCTCCTTCCCTTAGTTAGCAAGACTGTTTCTCTCTGCCCTTATCTAAGAAATAATGAATTATTCCGTTTTGACCACGTGGAAATACAGAAAAGACATATCGGAAAGGCTATTTGGTTGCATTGAGAAAAAGAAAGAAAGCAAGAAATATGTATTTAATGTCTCCTTCCAATGCCTCATAAACAATAAACTATTCTGTTTTGGTGACTTAGAAAGACGGAAAAAGACATATCGGGCACGCTACTTGGTTTCAGTGAAAAATGAAAGAAAGAAAGAAAGAAGGGAATATAAATGGGTTTATCGTCTGTTTCAGTAAAATGGACAAAGTTGTCGTCTTTGAAAACTTTTCATTTCTACCCTTTTACTTCCCAAAAGCGTTTGTACAGAGAAAACATTCGGATAATTTCTAAATATTTTATGTCCAGAAAAGAAGAAAATTATAAGAAGAGAAGAAAAATTCGATAAAAACCTTAACCTCAGTACCATAACAGTAATTTTTAATTAAAATTGTATAAAAGATAGATTATTGCCCAAATACATTATATATATATATATATATATATATATATATATATATATATATATATATATATATATATATAATTTCTCCTCCCCGATGATGGCCATTTCGGTCGAAACTAGTCGAGGAATCTAAATGGAATAATAATAATAAAAAAACGAAAGAATATTAATCTACAACCCAGTGTGTCTAATGATTTTAATTTTTAATTTTTTTTTTCTTATTTTCAAAATTATTATATATATATATATATATATATATATATATATATATATATATGTGTGTGTGTGTGTTCTGGACGGTCTCCTTGTTTAAGTTGGGGAATACTGTCATAATCCTTGCTTTCAGTTTATCTTTGGTAATACAAGGAGTTTTATTGGTCTTTCGCTCAACTGCGCTCCACACATAATAATCAAATGGTCTGTAGTCTAAGGAGTTAGGTGACCAGATGTTAGGGGTGGTGTGGTCGCAGAAACTGTTTGATAGCCAACAATGGCTTCTCCTGTTTGTGTGACATCGTGCAGTCCTGATGCCTGATATAGGATCTTCCAGCAGCTACACTCTTGACCCAGGGCATCACTACCTCCTCAGGGCATTTGATGTTGGCCTCTGTGCTGAGTCTGAGTCTCTCATTAACAAATTCTGGAGCTTATTTTTCTTATTAGAACGATCAGAGTGAATTTTCCGAGCTGCCGTACCTTCGTACTCAGCATTAGACTCATCCAACTGTTTCCGAATCCTCCACACTGTCCTCAGATTGACATCCAGACGCTCTGAAATGTTCATATTGGAGCTTCCGGCGCGAATGCCAAGCAGCGCAGCATGCCGTTTTCAAATTTCTGGTGGGGTGATTTATGTCATGATGCTCTTTTTCTCGTAGACGGTGTCCTACTGATCTTACGATACTGTACAGTCGACAAAACGAAAAACAAACAACGCGCATGCGCGAAATTAAGTATATAAAATGGCAACAATTTAACGCTGCATATATATTAACAAACTGATATTGCCAGATTA